GGCAGCAGAGAACTGAGTGACGTCTGAGGCGTAAAAGGGGACGGTAGGTGTCTGTGATGCTGAGCGAGGTGGCGGCCGCCATGATTGGTGTTCAGCTGGTGCTGGAGCTCGGCGGGTTTGTGGAATGGCTGAGTGTTCATGCCGCGAGGGGTGTCATCTCTGAGGCCAGCGTTCCCGTCCCCTGGATAGCGCCAGCAGCACCCATGGCCCGGGCCAGTGTTCCTCCCTAGAAAACAGGTCCGGGGCTACGTCAGTGGATTTGCCAGGTGCTTCAAGGACCTTTGCTGGGAACGTGGGCTTTATCAGCTTAATTAAAAAGAATTCAGGTCAGACACTGAGTTCACCCCTTGCCGTCACTGGAGGAGCTCAGCAGCGTGCGCATTCGAAGACTGAAGCTCCCGATGCGTGTCCTGGGGTGAATCGGTTGAAAAATGCCCACGTCTGTGAGTGAATTGCCGTGTGGAATTGTTAGACCTGAGCTCATTCACCGGTGGTGATGTTTCGTAAGTATGATTCTGGTTTTAGAATAGATGATTGGAGCCATTTTTTCCTGTTGAGGACTTTTCTAGTTTTTGACAATAAAACAATTTCATCACTTTATGGGCGAATACTTACCTGTTCTCTGTAACATGGGCTCATGGACTGAGTTTACCCCAAAATGGTTTCAGGTAATCCTGGTGCAGGCTAATGGAAAAAAAGGGGCCAAAATATATCCCTGTTTTAATTCTATTATCAAATTCGGTTAATCAATATATGTTGAGTGTCTAAGATGTGCCTGGCCCAGTGGTAAATGCTGGGGATTTGGTAATGGTCCAGCATGAGCCAGGAGGCTGCCAAACCTGTGGCCGGTTACTACTGCCCAGAGTTAAAGCAGAAGAATCTTCAGTTAGCACTATAAGGAATCTTATTTTGTTCCTTACGTAATTCTCCACAGAAACGGTGACGTGCATCAAAGCCAACATAGAATACCGCACCCGATAGAATCACGTGGATGATCCACACACTGCCAGTTGTGAATTGTTGAAGTAGCGCGTAGATGTCATTTACAGAAAACTCGTGGGTCTTTCATTCAGTTGATGGTTTTCTTTGATGAACCAACAGCTCCTTCAACCTGGCCAAGGGCTCTAGCATTAATGAGGATATTTTAATTGGTGAGGATTGAAACCCTTAGTCAGATGAGCTTTGAGACTCTTTGAGTGGCTTTAGTGCTTTTAAAATTTAAACTTTTAAGTTAATTATGTTGTTTGAGGAGGGATTTCAGGCATTTATTCAAAAAAAGGCTTCGAGACCACGATATTCGGGGCAGTTTTCCTTGGTTTATGAAAGAGCAAAGTCAGCCTCCCGGGCACCAGGGAAGGGGTGGCTCCCGTGGTCTCTCTGGGGTCCTGCCGTGCCCAGAACCTGCTGTCGCTCTTGGTGCAATCACCAAGTCTGTGCCTCCCTTACGGATTTCCTAACCCAGAGCTTTTCGGAGGGGACAAGAAATGGCCGCGGGTGGGCTCGCATTTCTGGTCTGGCTGGCAGGCTGTGCCCTCGCCCAGGTCGGGCACATGTGGCCGGTTTTAGCCACAGCCCATCCGTGCAGAGCTATCCAGTGGGTTCCTAGATGTGTTTCTGCGGTGAATAAGGCCGAGGGGTTAAAATCCAAGGCCGGAAAGGCGGGCCGCTTTTGCCCGTGTCGCGTGTTATGTCGCGTTCCTCATTAGTGCCCCGCCGTTGCTCTGCAAGCCCGTTAGCCAACCGCATGCTGAGGTGTCAGATTTTAAAATGTCCGCAGTTTCCACGCGGAATCCCTGGGACTCCGCTTCCCTGTCGGTGGCTTCACAGACCAAGTGTGTTATTAGTTCTGCTGCGATCCACGCTAAACGAATGTGTTTCCCTTCGGTCAGGCGGGTGCTCATTTGCCTTGAGCAGCTATTCTTCCGTAGGGTCACACCATGCCCCCGAATTCCTTTGGTGTGGTCTGGAATTTCCACGCCGCAGGTCACATGACCTTCCTCTGTACGTCTTCCGTAGGGTCACACCATGCCCCCGAATTCCTTCGCGTGTTCCCAAACCGTTGGTGTGGTCTGGAATTTCCACGCCGCAGGTCACGTGACCTTCCTCTTTACATAGTGAGTGGGTCGTGGAATAGAAAGCGCTCTGTGTTGCAGGTAGATTGGAATCGCTTTACAGGTGGGAAAATGCTGAGCGAGAGCATGCCCGGTCCGAGGTTCGCCGCAGCTCATGGCAGGGTCGGGGCCAAAACATCGTTTCTTCACTGCAGTCCAGTGTTGTCATCTTTGCACCAGGAACTTGACTCTCTGTGTTTATAACAAGTGCTGTTTGAAGGAGGGGACAGGCAAGGCTTTGCGTCAGGTGCTATGATAGGTGCCTTACGTACATTAACGCACTTGGTCCTCACAGTGACCTGCTGAGGTTTGAAGATACCCGCATCAGACTGGCCCCCCTTCTCTGCCTGAGTTTGGAATCAGCAGAAAGGAACACCTGGCTCAGGCACAGCTCAGGTCTGGCTGGCTCGCGTCTGGATGTCACCCCAGTCTCTGGCAAAGCTGAGTGACTGCACGCTCTTTCTGGGGCCAGACCCCATTCTGTCCGTGTGGGGAGCAGGGCCCCAAGAGAAGGATGGGAGCAGTGCACCTCTCGTCGTCCTTCCAAATGTAGCACCACCCTCGGGAGGAGTGGGGGAGGGGCGGAGTGGGGCCAAGACTGTTACTCCAAGGATGGCCCTCCCCATGGGACATGGAACCAGAGAGAGGAGATGTCCTCTTTCTGCACGGTGTTATCAGGGACCTTTAATTTTTCCTATTTTGTAAGTGAAACACTTGAGGTCCAGGAAGGTGAAATAACCTGCCCAATTGTACAGTTCTGTCTGTGCACTAGCTGGGGAGACGTCCTGGCCACAGATGGGGGCCAAGTGCAGATGGGGCCAAGGGCAGACGGGGGCCAAGGGCAGGGGATCTCTTCCGGCTGGGCGTGCATGGCATCCTGGCCAGTGTGATGTCCCAGCACAGCGCAGCAGGCATTTTTCGAGTGTTCATGAAGGGTGGGATTTGCCACCGTTGTAATGAACTGCTCAGCCTTGAGTATCGAGTTTCAACAGATTTGGAAGCCGAGTTTGAAATTCAGCTCTTGGGAGGTCATTCATTCAGCATTTGCTGAGAGCTACGCATTAAAGAATTGCCCTTGGCGCTGGACTAGAGACAGACAAGGCTTCGGAGAGCTCATGGCTGAACGGCAGCAGATAGCAGACGACGTGGTTCTGATCCCGTGTGATAACAGCTTCCTGAAGGGATGGCGTGCGGTGAGACAGTCGAGTGTGCCAGGTCGAGTTAAGGGACGGAGGTGCGTGAGCACCCGCTAGTGCCCTGGGTTCTCGCGGGAACTGGACGAGAACCACGCACGTAGCCCTGACCCTCCGGGGCCGCAGTGTGTGCCGAGCGCTGTGGGGGCTCACGCACGGGACAGGACGCGCCAGGTGTCGGGGTTCCTTCCAGCTGAGAAAGGCGGGGACTGGGGGTCTTCTATGAGGGAGTCTTTAGTAGGTTGGCCTGTGTCATAGCAGGAAAAATCAACCCTGAAATCTCAGGAAAATTAACTTTTACTGCAATGAGGGTTTACGTGGCACACGAGTCTGATGCAAGTTGGGCAGTTTCCCAGGGCGGCTGACCTCCCCGAGGTCACTGGGTGGCCCAGGCCGCACCTGTCCTCTGCCCCTTCTCCCCGTCCGGCCTCCAGGACTGCTGTGCGGTGGGGGAGAGCATGGGGGCTGACATGCTGGTTCAGCGTGCTCTGTCTCCGAGGGACCTGCACGGCTCCCCTCACAGCCGCCTGGCCTCACTCCCTGCATGGGGGCCGAGGGCGGGGCAGGAGGACCTGCAGTAAGTGTCATTGCCACAACCCTCTAACTGCCCCATCTCCCCATCTTTTCAGTCTCAGGCCTTAGAATAGTCTAGATTCCAACCCCCATCTTGCCTGGCTGGTAACCAGGGAGGTCACAGGTGCTGTGGTTTAAGAGTCTTCACAGCCGCCTGGCCTCACTCCCTGCATGGGGGCCGAGGGCGGGGCAGGAGGACCTGCAGTAAGTGTCATTGCCACAACCCTCTAACTGCCCCATCTCCCCATCTTTTCAGTCTCAGGCCTTAGAATAGTCTAGATTCCAACCCCCATCTTGCCTGGCTGGTCACCAGGGAGGTCACAGGTGCTGTGGTTTAAGACCATGGTGTCTCTTGCTGTCACTGATCTCTGGCTGTGGGAGTTGGGCAATATATTTAATCTCTGTGTCAATTTCCTTGTTGATAACGTGGAGAGAGGTGACAGCACCCGAGCCAGGACGGCGGGGTGCTGTTTGCTCGAGCGAGCACACGCGTGGTTAGCACGGTCGAACGTGCTCGGGCTCCGTGGGTTAGTGAGTGCAGTAAATGCAGATTCAGGCCGCCTGACCCGAGTGTGGGTCTCGATGAACGGACCTCACAGTGGGGGAAGCAGTGGAGCTACAGAGCGCGGGTAACGTCCGTGCGTGGGCCTGGACCTCAGGGGTGGGGTGCACTCTGTCTGCTGTGGACGTGCCCGGTGGGCAGGCGTGAGGCTGGAGACAGGACAGGAAGGACGCTGCGTGGAGCCGGTTGCTGCGGACGTGCAGGGGGCAACTGAGTGACTCCTCGCGGCAGGGTGCGAGCGAGGGGCCTCAGCTGCGTTTTGCAGGCGGGGCGCGAGTCTGGGGAAGGCACTCACCTGGCTAGCAGTGCAGTGGGCTTTCAGCCCTTTCCACCTGGCCCTTCTGCCTGGGGGCCACTGCCCCGGCCCTCGGAGTGTCCTCACACGCCACCCGCCGCGTTCTCCTTTGTTCTGCCACGTTGGCGTGCTTGTTCTTCTTCGGTTAGCTGCTGTTTGATGTATTGTTTTCCTAACTCATGCTGTTTGGTGGTGTGTCGGCCGAAACCACGCTAACAAGGCAGTTGACGTATCTTTGTTCCGTTTGAAACAACAGGCGTGGGCAGGTACCTCCCCACCAGCCTCCGGCCACGGAAAATGAAAAGCCTGCTGGGTCAGAACGTGTCCACCAAGAGCCCCTTCATCTACTCGCCCATCATCGCCCACAGCCGTGGGGAGGAGCGGAGCAAGAAAATCGGTAGGACCGTCCGCCCCCGCAATCCCGCCGCGCCCCGCCGCGCCCCGCCCGCTGGCGTCCTGTGGCTCTGCAGACTGCAGGCCGGCGCCTCGCACGTGCTCCCACCGTCCGCGTCTGTTTGCTGCCTCTGTCCGGCGGTTGCCATAGATCTGGTTTTGAAAAATGTCTTTCATAAAGGGTGATGTGTGTGGAAATGCTAGAAACCAGAAGACCTCTGTTAGCCCAATGCCGAGTACGGAGGGTACTAAGTGGAGATCAGGTGGTTTTCCAGGCCCGGCCTGACTTCTGAGTCATCCAAGAGGACGAAAGACTGCCATCGCTCAGGATCGTCGGGGGATGGGGGCGCTGCGGTATTTTCTCTGTTGAGAACTGGCAGGCCTTGTTCTGAGGGCGCTCAGGGTGACCAGTTCTGCGGTGCCTGCCGAGCTGCACTGCGGGTCAGTCGAGAGCAGACACTGCCATCCCCGGGAACCCCTGGGGTGCCTCTCCGTGTGCTAAGCTCCCCGACCTTGTCCCAGCCCCAGCCCGCTCACTTCCTCTCTCACACCGACCCTGGGCTCCTGTGTGCCATCACCCCGTCTCTCCGTGCCCTTCCTGACGCCTGGCTTTCCAGAGGGCCTCCTTCCTTGCCAGCTCCCCCTCAGGCCCCTTGCATTATGAGATCGTGATTGCCAATCACTGCCAGGCACGAGCCTGCGAGTCCCAGTGACGAAGCCAGAGGACAGCGGCCGTCCCAGGCGGGAATGGCCGATCCCCTGCTAGGAGTGTCAGTGGGAGGCCTGCGAAGCTTTGCTCTCTGCTTCCGAGTCGGGCGCCTTAGTTGGGCGCCTTAGGCCGCTCGGCCACCCTGAGAACCCTGCTCTCTATGCTTTCGAAATTCAGTGCTTGCTTCTCTTTCGGTTTTCCGCATTTCTGCTCTTACTTGCTGTGCCCCCAGTGCAGGGGGGAAGCATCCTGGCTTCACGTGGGTGTCCCGCTGCCCTTACTGCACCCCTGCAGCCAGCGCGGCCCTCGGCTCGCCCGGCCCGGCCGCTGGGACCATCCACACCGGGTCTGCCCTTCCGTCCCCACCGCGGGCGCCCTGCCTCGGCGCTGCAGACCAGCCTCATGCGCTTTCTGTGCTTCGATTGCAGCGTTCTAATTCCGGGCTCAGGGCCTCGTGCTTGCTGTGCCCTCTGCCGGGAGCGCAGCCCCCTGCTGTCGCTGGCTCACTCAACTGTCCCCTCCTCAGAGGAGCCTCCGCTGACCCCCGCGCCGACCAGGCCTCCCTGCCACCTCTCTGGACCTTTGCTGCCGGGCGTCTCCGCGTGTGTGTGTTTCGGTCTCCCCTCCCTTCGTTTGCTCACTGCCGCGTCCCCAGCTGCTAGAACAGTGTTGACGGATGAACGAAGGCATGGGGTGGTTGTGATGAATCCCGTTTTACAGATAAGGAGACCTGTCCAAGGACTCACAGCAGAACCCCAATTAATCATTGTCAACTCTTCTCCCAGGTCGGGGTGGGCAGGCAGGGCACAAACACACCGGAAGCTGACTGTCCAGACAGGATGCAGATTGAGTTCTCTGAAACTGTAGCAGGGTCACCGGGCAGCACCTGGTGACTTACCATTGAGCTGGGGCAAATGGCAAGTGCTGGCTGAACTGGGACCAGGGCACCTCGGAGGGCGGCAGGGAGCAGTGCTTCTCTGAGGAATGGGGTGGGTGTGGCTCGTGTCGTTCATTTTTTTATTTATCTAGCTATTTATTTTTATTTATGCCTGCAGCACCTGGTCTTCCTAGGTGGTCTCCCATCTAAGTACTAACCAGGCCCGACCCTGCTTAGCTTCCAAGATCAGACATTGGGCTTGTAGCATGGCCGTAGACCAGGGACCGTGGCTCCACTGGGGCGCGAACCCAGGACCTTCTGCATGTAAAGCAGACGAGCTCACCGCTACACTGTGGAACCATGTCCTGTTCATTTTTAAAATGAGAAAATAAAGAAAGAAATATGTTTAGAGAAACTTCTCAAGGAGATCTGGGGGCTCCTCAGGACCTAATTCGTGGGGCTCAGTGCAAAGTGAAAATTCAGGGACCCTCTTCAAAAATTGTTAATAATTTGGAGACAGTGGAGCGTTGAACGAACATGGACCCTCGGTGCCTGTGTGGCCTCTGCCGCCTGGAGGCCAGAGCTGCCTCTTTATTTTTCCCTGATCAATATTAAGAAGTTGTTGAGATTTTTTTTTTTTTTAATGAAAATAATATTCTTTGTGTTGCAGAGGGCTTAACTGTTACCCAGTGATTCTCAAAGCTGTGTGACGCTGCAGGCATTGTGTTCCCAATTTACAGATGAGAAAATTCAGACTGAGTGAACCTGAGTTACTGCCTTAGGTTAGAGAGCTTGGGCTCCAGCCCAGGTTCAGTGGCTCAAAGCCCAAAGATTTTTCCTTGATAATGTGGCTCCTCGTCACAGTGAGAAGCAGCACCTGCTCTTCTGGGGGGAGGATAAAATCAGTGGATGAGGCAAGATTTTTTCTGAGTTATAATAGAAGCTTCAGCCAAATGCATGTTATTCGTTGCATACCCATGGGTAGGAAAATGTAATTTATATTCAATGGCTTCTAATATCTTTTTGGCAATATGTTTATAAGCAGGGACATGCCTAGAGGTTTGAAGAATCACGTGTCTTTAACCCCAAATTCCAATCTCTATAAATGAATATTCGCGTATGATTGCGGGAGTTACCATCACAGCAGAGGGCACAGGGCACTCGAGGAGAAGCCTGAGGGCAGTTTCTGAGACACTTTCCACTCCAACCTGGAATAACTCACGAGTCGTTCTGTCTGCACGTTGCTAGTGTCGCCTTCGTCCAGGTAAAACTGTGCGAAGGTGACTGCAGCACACGTCCTGAGCTCGAGCACAGTGGGGTGAAGGTTTTCAGGTAATTAGTGATGGTACTTGGTGGCACGGCCAGGCTTAGTGCTCAGGTCACAGCTGCCCCAAGACGAGTGTAGCTGTCTGACTCCTTGGGTCACAGCCTGGCCCTGCGGCCATCCCTTCCCACCGGGCCACCTCGGACAAGTGGTGGTGGCTCCCTGGGCTGCAGCTGTGTCAGCTACAGAGAGGGGGACAGGGGAAGCTAACTGGGAGGGTTCTGCTGAGGGTCAGGTGACAGTGTCACTGAAGTGCTGCCGGCTGCCGGGTAGCAGTTGCGGCAAGAAATCAGGGTGCTTCCTGCCACGTACGTTGTGCAGCGTAGGAGAAAGTGACCAGCCTGTCATCAAGGGCGACTGAAAGATGCTGTTAGCCCAGGGGTAACGGCACGCACAGCGCGGGGCAGCATGGAGTGGGGGCCCCCTGCGGGACCCGGGCTCGATGGCCACCAGTTGCCGTTCCTTCCCGCTGTTTGCAGGACAGAGTGTCGAGGGGGGCTCACCTTGAGCTTTGGCACACGAGGGGTCGGGAAGCAGGTTGCCTCCTTCCAGACAGAAATAACTCTTCACGTAGTCAGTGATTCACCTCGGTAGACAGGGGCCGTGCAAGTGAGTCAGTGATTCACCTCGGTAGACAGGGGCCGTGCAGAGGTTCTTTTCAGGACTCCAGGCAAATAGCAGACCTCTGCTGAGGTTCTTTTCAGGACTCCAGGCAAATGGATTTTTTAAATGATTTTTTTTTGACCACGAGAGAGAAAACAAACAGTTCCTTAGCTACGAGGCACTGTGTTCAGACGAATGAGATTTTCATCCTCTGTTAGGATGGAGCCGTCCGTGGCTGGGCTCCGGGACACCGCTGAAGGGCGGGGTGAGCACAGCACTCTGGACGGGGACTTCTGCGAGCCCCCCTTGAAGGCCGTCGTCGCCTGGAGGGCCGGGGGTGCGGGCTGAGGAGAGGAGAGAGGAGGAGGGAGGACACCTGCATTTCCGGAGCCGGCAGGGGTGGAGCAGCCGAGCGAGGAGGGCCCGGGTTTGGAGGCGTCTGTCTTCGTGTCTGCAGGGTGTCTGGTGCCCTGGCACAGGGTGTCTGGTGCCGGGGGATTGGAAGAAGCGGAGTCTTTCCGAAAGCTGAGAAATGCTCATCTGTACTCTCTGTATCTGCTCGCGAAAAGGCGCTTTCAACCACCCGCCGGAGTCCGTCCCACACCCCTCCTCGCGTTTAGACGCTTAGGCTCGAATCTCGCCCTCTGGCCCTGTGACTCCAGGCTTTGCTTACCCTGTTTGGGCCTTGGCTACCTGCCTGTAGCAGTGGGGCGATAATACCTATGTCACCAGGTAGTTATGGAGAGCGACGAGTTAACCTCTGGCGGGCACCTCAGACCCGAGGCGCCTTTGGTTCGCCTCGCGGGGTGTCTTAAGGGAGGGGAGCTGTGGGCGTGTGCTGGACGGCGCTGCTGTCTTTAGCTTTGCTCACGTTACCGCAGACGTAGGGGCCTACAACGGGAAAGCTCACTCCCTCGCCATTTCCATGGGTCCTCCACTCAGGTCTCACCGGCTGACGTGCGGGGGTTGGCTGGACTGGAAAGGTCTGTTTCCCGGCTCCCTCAGGTGGCTGGTCATTTGTTTCCTTGCGGTTGTGTCGGTGACTCCCCTGTTCTCTTGCCGGCTGTCAGCCAGGACCTGTCTCAGGCCCTAGAGGTCGCTCTTGGGTCCTTGCCATGTGGCCTCCTCCATAGGCCCCCTCCTCTTGGAATCTCTTCCTTCAGGAAGAGTACGGTCCCTTTTAAGGGCTCACCTGATTAGACCAGGCCCACCAGGATCGTCTCCCTTTTGACTGACTCAGAGTTGACTGATTGGAAACCTTGATCACACCCGCAGGACCCCCATTACCTTTGTCATACGACAGAACATCCTCTCATGGTCACACTCGGGGAGAGGGTCACGGAGGGCACATACACCAGGGCCAGGGGCTCGGGGGTCATCTCACAACCCTGCCTCCCATAGGTGTTCAGCAGCAGCCGACTTGGGAGTGGTCGGGGAGGACCGCCGCCATCTCCTCTCACCGCTTCCGAGGGGGGAGGGGATCCCCACACTGTGGGCCGCAGGGCCAGCTTCCTAAGTACTGTGCTCTGGGCCGGTGCGGTTCTCTGCTCCACGCCGGGAACAGGGCCGTCCGCACCGATTTCAGCTTCGTGAAGCTGCATTGGGCATGCCGGCACGGATCAGCCTGCTGAAGACGGCAAGAAACATCTGTCACGTAGCATCCAAGTGGCAGTGATGACTTGCTCTGTTTTGGAATAAGCTAGCGGGAAAACTTGCTTTGAATTGTCTGTCTCCAGATGATACTAAACACCCACTGCTTCACTGGAAGAGCGAATCGCCAGAGGAGTATTCTGAAACCCTGGGAAACATGCACGGTACCCGCTAACACAGAGATGCTTGTGTGTGTTTCTAGATTTCCAGTGGGTCCAGGGAGATGTATGTGAAGTCCAGCTGATGGTATATAACCCGATGCCATTTGAACTCCGAGTTGAAAACATGGTATGTATCACCGACTGATTGACCCTTTGGGACTAAACACCAATTTAGCATTAAAATATGGTTTTTGCTTAATACTTAATGCACACATCTTATGATATATGCCTTTTTTTGTATTTGTTTTGCCAAAGATTATAAGCTTTTTGTGAGCAAAGACCACGTCTTGTCATTCCCGTGTCTTTAGCGCTTGGTACTCAGTAAATTTTTCACTCAGCGAGCAAAGACCCCTCTGATCTGGATGCCCACTGAGCTTGGTTGGTTGGATATAGATCTGCGATACTCACGTTGACGTTTACGTGAGATCAGTGCAGTTCGTGTTCTCGCTACGAGATGATGAGGTGACCAAGGCCCCAGGGAAGAGCAGGCCCCTCAGAGTAAGGGGGTGATGCCGCACACTCTCATACGGTTCCTCTCGGCTGCGGAGCCCGATGCTCTGAGTCTGCGTTTTGCGCAGGGCGTGAGGGCTGCCTTCACAGCGGTGTCTGTTGGAACTGCCTAGCTGATTCCATGGTGGGGTGGATTTGTCCTGGCCCTCCAAGCTGACTCTGGTGCTCCCAGGGCAAAGCCACCTGGCCACCACGCGGGTCCCACTGCTAGGTCTTCTCCATGCGTATTAATACATGGTCCTGCTTTGTGGCTTTTCAGCGACATGCTGAGATGGTTGGCATTTTCTTTTAGAGTTTTACAGGGTCAGAGGTGGACTCTTCATGCAAGTGTCTTGCTGGGTGCCCATGCCACTTGTCAGGCCTTGGGCGAGACACTGGGGTGGGGGGGGCTGGTTTCTTCCATGACTGGCCAGTGCTGTGGTATGGGGGTGCTGCGGACCCACATGCCAAGTCTGTGAGAAATGATGTCCGGCCCGGCTGAGAGTATAGGGACGGGTCAGAGTTTGCCAGGCAGACGGGGCGTTGTTTACGGTGACAGTCAGGCCTCCAGCATGTGGTGTTCTAAAGTCAGTTCGAGTTCTTAGAGACTCAGCTGCGTGTTAAGCAGACAGTCCTGAAGTCACTCCGAGAGCGAGCCTTCAAGGGTGAGTGTTTGCTGCTGCCTCCTATCCAGGCACAGGCTGGCCTCGGGGTTGGCCCTTGGCTCAGGCCTTTCCTGGTGACTTTCTGTCTCTTAGGCTGAACAGGAAATGATCGCTGTTTTAGAGAATCTTCTCCAAACTGGTTACGCTGTCACATGCCGGCTGCTCTTTCTTACATGTTTTTTTTTTTTTTTTTGCCTTAAAAAGTAGCTTTTATTTTTGTTGGGTTTAAAAGTAGTATGTGCTTTTAGTCAAAAATGAGGAAGAACAGAGAATAGAATAGAAATTGCTACTAGGCAATAGCTCACAAATCATGCTCAGGATTTAAAAAATTAAGTTATGAAATATTTCAAACATATCAAATGTTACAAGGAGTAATAAACGCTCACATAGTAAACCATCCACGTTTAGAAAATATTAACAGTGGGCCATATTTGCTTTAGTTATTTTAAAAGAAAGAAAACGCCAGTGTATTTTGCTTGGCAGCAATAGTCATCTAATTGGTTTCTGCTTTCACTCCTGCCCGGGACATCTGTTCTGCACATCGTTAGATCACTTCACGCTTCTGCTTAAAGTCTGGGCCCAGGTGCGCTCCTTGCTGCTCTAGTGCCTTTGCTTCTGCGTGCAGTTAGGAAAAGTAGGCACGCGCGCACACGTAGACATGGACTGCATACGCACCTACGCGTGCGCATCTGCAGACACACATATAGACACGTGCCCGTATACACAGTACAAGTGCAGATGTCGTAAAGCCCGGCTGCACAGTGTCACCTCCAATTCTAGCCTATCTCCGTAGGGTTCTGTCTTGCCTTCCTCCCTTCCACAGCTGTGTCCTTTCTGCGGGTGTGAGAATGTGGGCTCACAACAGCAGCACGTTCTCGTTGGCTCAGGCCTGTGATCCATCTAAAACAGCATCTGCATTGCTTTGCCCAGAGCACTACGGAAAAGGCCCACTGGAGGAATCTGTGATCTTCTAGGTCATCTTTAATTGGTCTCGGCCACATTCTGTGGGGAAATCTTACACTTCGTTCATGGGGTTTATTCCAAGCGAGCTGATTTTTTAAACTTCTTGTTAATGGTGTTTTTTACATTTTCTTTTCTAATTGTTCATAGCTGGATTATAGAAGTACCTTTGCTTTTTTTTTTTTTTAATGCTGACTTTGTCACTTTGCTAAACACACTCGTTAGTTCAAGTTTCATGGTAGATTCCATAGGGTTTGCTATGTTCACAGTTTTGTTTTTTTTGCGAATAATTGTCTGTATGCCTTTTGTTTATTTTTCTTGCCTTATTGCACTGGGCAGCACCTCAGTTACAATGCTGAGAATTCCTGAGCACTGACACCCTGCATAATTTTGGTCTTGGGGCTACTCTTTGAGGCCCGGGAATCTGTCTTGTTTACTGTTGAGCGTGGTGCCTGGTATATATTGGTGATTCACGACACACTGAAGAGAGGTTAATGGATGATATATTTCCACACTTCATGGTTTTTCTTTTTGTTTACATTCTCATTTGGTAAATAGCAAAACAAAACTAATATCAAAAATGTAGCATCTAAGGCTTATATCAAGATGGCTCGTTCCTCGGGCCCCGTCTTCAGGGCTGTCTTGTGTTACCCGCACTTTTAGCCTGTCTCCACGGTTCTCTGGATTCTTAGAAAAGCCATTCCTTCTGGCAGTCCTGGAGCTCTCTGTTAGTGGCTGTGCCACGGCATGGCGAATCGGGGACTGACCGTGACGTTGTGGGTCTGGGCTGTGCTCATTCACGTCGCCCATCCCTCGCTTCAGGGGCTCCTGACAAGCGGAGTGGAGTTCGAGTCTCTCCCTGCGGCACTTTCCCTTCCGGCTGAGTCTGGTCTTTACCCGGTGACGCTCGTTGGGGTCCCCCAGACGACTGGGACGATTACTGTGAACGGTAAGGGGGATTGCTTTCTGATTCGGGTTGGGTAGGCTGGCTGAGCTCTTGTCCTGCCTCACTGAGGCCTGTCCCTGGTCACCCAGCATCCTAGTCCTCACTGTTAGGTGATGTTTAATTGTTATACAGTGAACGTTGTTTATAATCATCCTCTCAAAATTTCAAAAGTCATTTTGAAGCTTTGCTTGAACAATTTCAAGTGCTTATCTAGCCAATGGCGTCTTTTTTTTTTCTGGCATGGAAAATTTGCTCATCTGAAATTATAGTACTTACACATAGGCAGCAGACTTGCCATATCACGTAGATGTGATGATAACAATAATTAGCTCTCGAACTTTCATCTCTCAACAGAAGATTCGGAATCATTTCTCAAATACTTAAGTCACATTGTGTCCAGGAAAGGAACACTAGCTCTCATTCTCACTTTAGAGATGGATGAATCTGAAAAGCAAATTGGTACCAGGATGCGATTCAGTTACTAACTGTGCCGCGATTTCTAGTTTACGAAGACCCTGCTGCACACACTGTGCTTTGGACACAGGCAGCCTTGCGAGGCGGGGCTGCAGGCGCTGCTGCCGGCTCCACTCCCCGTAGCAGGAGCCCGGGGGCCTCGGGGTGGACTGTGGGAGCTGGGTGACACCAGCAGGGTCGGGGCCTGAATCTCGACTCAGGTCTTCGAGAGGGACCGTGTCCCTGTGGGGGCTGCCTTCAGGTGGGGCGCGAGACGCGAAGCCGGGCAGCGTGCAGCTTTTCCTCCTGGTTCCCAGGTTACCACACCACGGTCTTTGGCGTCTTCAGTGACTGCTTGCTGGACAACCTCCCGGGAATAAAGACCGGCGGCTCCTCTGTCGAAGTCATCCCCGCCCTGCCCAGACTGCAGATCAGCACGTCCCTGCCCAGGTAGACACACAGCGCGCGGCGTCTGCTCTCCGGCGAGAAATGGCACTTAGGAAGATGTTTTAGGATACATCTTTCAATGGCACGAAGGGCCTTGAGTTTATCTGTGACTTTTGTGACCAGGATATGGGTGAAGGCTTTCTTCAAGATGACTGGTGGGCAACATGCTTTGCTTACAGCGAATTGGAACAGAATTGAACTGTTTCTCACCAAGATCAGAACGAAGTGTGAAATTAGCCTTTGGAATCATGGTTTTTGTGAAAAACAGTAAAGGGTTTAGGGAATTTGAGAAAAACTCTTATCTTAAAAAAAAAAAACAACTGGTCTCTTTTTAGTGTTTGGGAAAGCGGAAAGCAGCAAGGGGCATACGCCTCAGGAATTTCGGAGGCGGTTACTGTCGGCGCCGGTGCTGCCGTCCCTTCCAGTGTTTACCCACCTCTCTCTCTTTTCTTTTAATAGTTTGAATAGTTGAGATGATGCTACATTATATGTAGTGTCGTAGATTATTTTTTGCTTAACCACATAAGCTAAAAAGTCTTATTTTAATGGCTTCAAAAATTATATCATAAAATACCTCAAAATCACATCACTATTTATTTCCTTGCTATTGGGATTTGGGATCATCTCAGTTTTTGCTCGTGTGAATAATGCTTAACGTTTATCCTTTTGGCTGCGTTTATAAAATGTATCTTGGTATTTTCTAAAATGTCTTAAAAGCTCCTTCAGATCCTTAATGGGCCCTTCCCAGTTGCTGAGCGCTGTGCTGCACGCTGGGGCCGTGAGCGTGAACACACCAGCCCTGACCTTACCTGAGAGACCACGGTCAAGTAGGAGAGATTGACGGGTGGCCAGGCAGTCACAGTCCACTATTGGCAGGACTCTGATTGGGCCGTGGGAGATCACGGAGCTCAGGGGACATTCCTTCCAGGAGGTGACATCAAGTGCAATGTGATGGGTCAGGGAGGGGGAATTGCCATGTGCAGCGGGTCGTGGGAGAATTTTCTAACAAAGGGAGCAGCAGCGAGAAACTTCCCCAGAGGGGAGGCAGCGTCATGTGATTGGGCATCGATGACATGCAGAAAAAGATGGACTCAAAAGGATCGTAGAACTAATTGTAAGAGATAAAAGTGTAAAACTTTTAGAAGAAAACGTAGAAAATTTTTGTGATCTTGGGTTAGGTAAAGAGTTCTTCGATATGAAACCAAAAGCAAGGTCCTCTATCAGAGCCTGGACCAGAGGTCCTGGGAGGCACAACCAGCCTGATGAGCTTAGACGCAGGCTCTTCCCATGGGCAGCAGAGGTGTGAGACCAGCAGTGTCTGGAACATTCTTTTCTGTCCTTTGGACCAGATGGTGTGGGGATGTGAAACCAGACTTGGGTCTGCCCTGGTCCTTTGAGCTGTGCCCAGGAGCAGCGCTGGACAGAGCTGGTCGGCAGAGGGGCAGTTGGGTAGCTGCCTGCTCTGCTGTGTCGCAGTCCATTGCTGGTTCAGTTGAGTGGATGATGTCGGCTCGCACACGTTTAGACTAATGTGGCTTTCTGCCGAGATCCTTCAGATTCAAAGAGGAAGGTAAACCCTTCTGATCCCAGGAGAAAATGTCGACCCTTTCCCCTCCAGAGACCTTCCTGCTTTTTGCGACCAGACCTCTCCGGAGCGTCGTATAAGCGTTTCAGCCACACCTGCCACACGCACCTCTCTTTATTGTTGGCTGGCTTTTGTCCTCACTGGACCACCTTTTCCCCTGGTCACCATGACTCCTTGCCCAGAAGTCAGTTTGCTGCCTGCGGGTTGGGAAGGAGACACCCAGGGTAAATAGCATTCTGGATTAAGTGACAAGAGACCTCAGGTGAGAACTTACAGACCGAGGCTGTAGTGTGGGAGCCTCATGGAAGTGCCAGGTGAGCTCCGGGGCCTCTGGATGCTGAGCCGCACCCCCAGGCAGCATAGGGCCTCACTTGACCGTGCTGAGGACACCGTCCAACCTGGGCACCAGGCGCCCTGCGTCATATCAGGTGTTCGCAGGCCTTGCTCATCATGCTTACCTACGACACGGAGTCTGTTGCACACACTTCCTTTCCTGTTCGTTCCAGTTCTGATGTCATCAGTCGGAATGGTTCATTTACATTTCCTTCTTAAATCTTTGGATTTTCTCGAAGCAGCTCTTAGCATGAGATTTTTCATCTTTTTGAGAGAGCAACACGCTCACAGTTCATTTGGGTCGATGCATTGTTTCCGTTTCACCTTCACCATGACCCACTAATTAGGTGAGAGCGATCACGTGCTGACACGCCAGTGACCCGGGACGCGTCTGCGCGGAGAGAGCGCCCGGCTCGTGGCGGTTCACCTTCCCTTCTCGGGAGCCGGGTGCTGAATTTCGCGTTTGAAGCCGGCGTTCCCTGGTCCCTGTTTCTGAAACGGGCAAGTGCGGTGACGCGAGTCATTCAGTGCCATTCCCATGCCATTGGTCTTCTTTCTTTTTAAAATGGGTTTTTCTTACTCTTATTTCAGATCTGCACATTCACTGCAGCCTTCCTCTGGTGACGAAATATCTACTAATGTGTCAGTCCAGCTTTACAATGGAGAGACTCAGCAACTTATCATTAAATTGGAAAATATTGGGATGGAACCATTGGAGAAACTGGAAGTCACCTCAAAAATTCTCACCACCAAAGGTAGGCACTTTAAGCAGGTTTGACCCCAGCAATGTTTATCTTCCTTGTTGGTGGAAGAGACATTACATAACCAGTATGCGGAGTCTAAAAGCTTCTTGCACTTTTAATTTGATGCCGTCGGGAGACGTGTACTCATTATGCATGAAGAACACACAGGAGTAGAGAAAACACCTGAGTGCTCTTTGCATCTGTGAGGCCCAGGAGGAATATCCCTGGGGAACGAATGACGCAAAGCGTTGGCGGGCTCAGAAGCGTTCCCACCTGGGACCCATCCGTAACCTGTCCGTTCAGTGTTTTCTAAGCGGGGTCAACGCTCAGAGCCTGTGGCCCTTCTCACAGGCAGACGCTCTGTCTCCCAGTTCCAGGGCACACAGAGCCTGGGGTCAGACGAGCCGTGGAGAAATTTGGCTTCACCATTTGCTAGCTGTTTGTCCTTTTAGTGCCTCAGTTTCCTTCTGGTTAAATGGGGGGCAGGACTTACCATGTAAAGTTGTCCCGAGAAGCCAGGGGGTGGCGTTTGGCAGAGCACCAGTGTCGTGGAGGTCAGTGAGCAGCCCTGATCACGGGGGCCCGTGTTGTGCAGAAGGAGGGGAGGGTGTCGAGGGCAGTAAATGAAAATACAATCGGGTCACTTTACACAGGTAGAGGACCTCACAGGCCAGTGAGGCCAGACAGAGAGACGAAAGCAGGGCGCCCGCCAGCGGAACCAGGGGTGTTTGCTTCGATGTAGGAGTGAGCGGAGCCAGGCGGACGGCGGGAGCTGGCCTGTTTCTGGTTCTGTGTCCAGGGGAGGAGGCACTGTGCGTCCCTCCCTGGCAGGGGGCTCCCTCCTCATGCTGACGACATTGCGATGGGGAAAACCAGGGGAGGAAACGTTTAAGAAGTGGAGCCACAGGCCCGTCTGGTTAGTTCCATCCGGAGGGAAGGTCCAGCGAGGAGTTCGGGAGGGGTCATTATGCAAGCAGTCATGTCGTGTGAGAAGGAGTTAACCCGAGCTCGGCCCCTGGGGAGAATTTCTGGGTGTCATGTGTTTTTACATTTCTCACTGATTTGGGGGGAAATAAAGCAGGTGTCTGCCGGTTCGGGCACCAGGGTGAGAACCGATGGCCCCACACTGTCAGCTCTGGTGTCGTTGCCCCTGGCCACGAGACAGAACCTCAGACCCACCGTACACAGCACAGTGTGGCCATTTTCAAAATCGCACATTTACCAGTGAAAAATTAGAGCTGTCATTCTTTTCAAATTCTCATCCCAAGCTGCAGTACATTTACATGTGGAATTAAATTAATGGAAATAAACCATCTGCTTCCAAAACATACAAGGGGAATAATTCCTGTCACTTATATCCTACAGTACCCCAAAGCTGTCAGTGTTAATAATTGATCTAATATATAAGAGAAGATGGAAAAAGCCTTGAGCCGGAGGCGGAGCGAGAGCACGGCGTCTGGGGGCGGGGCGGGCGGCGGAGACCACGGCGGGCTCGTCCCGGGAAGGGGGGCCCCCTTGCTGTTCCAGCGGTACCTTCACGTGAGCCCATGGGCTTGGCCTCTGCAAGGGCCTCTCAGACGTCTGCTCCGTGGACCTTGTCCGCGTGATACAGTGCT